ACCAGACTGCAGTCGGTCCATACCTGTTTCCTTCCACCACATCAATGAGGTCATCCGCTGTGGCATCGCTACGCAGAGTCACATCGGCATTGTGAATTTTGTATTCAGCCAGAATGCTCTTCACAGTTTCCGCATCCAGCTCACTCTGAGGGCACTGAATAGACATAGAAGACAATGACTGGTCAGAGAGCAAAAACAAAAACTCCCAAGAGTATCCATGGATGAATCTGGGTAACCTTAGCTAAAGTGCAGCAAACTCATTTCTAAAGACTGCTATCCTGGATGAGAGTAACGAACTTATAGTAGGAAATACAAAAAACTAAAAATCTTTCCAAACTCTAGGGAAGGTGTTATGGCCTGAATTGCGTCCCCATAGCCCCCACCCAAATTCATGTTGAAGTTCTAGTATCTCAGAATATAACTTTTTGGAGATAGGGTCTTAAAGCGGTAATTAAGTTAAAATCACATGAGTAGGCTCATATAATGTAAGAGCAAGAATTTTTGTCTATTTTGCTCCCTTTTCCATCCACTCCCCAGAGCGTAAAGCAATACTTAGCCCATGGTAAGCACTCTATTAATCTGTGTTGAATAAAAACGTGGCATTGGCCGATCTACCTCCTGCAAACATAAAATTGGTCTATACCCCCATACCACCTCAAACAGTTAACCCAAAAGAGGAAATGAGAGTCTGACTCTTATCCTACTCTTGATTCTTGTCAATCATTACAAGGTAATTATGTTACTTCAATTAGTGCTAGAAGTCCGGTAATTTCCAAATGACACTGTCCCTTAGCTCAATCCATTCCACCCCAGTGTCTTTAGCAGCCTGCCTCATACCACCTTATCCCCTTACAGTGGCTGTGAGATTAATGCCTCCTTTATCCTTCTTCTTAAAGCCAATGTTGGGAGGTTTGCTGTTCAAGCGAAGGCCAAAGCCTTCCAATTCATTTTCAATGATCTTCTTATGTCCCAAGGGTTTTAGGACATCCAGAACAATCAGGATCAGGTTACACGTTCGAGCCACTGAAGAATTAAAAAATAAAAGTTACACCCAGGCAAAGTTCATTAAAGATTTAACTAATACAAATACTCAAAAGTATAGGGGTGAGGGTGAGGGTGGGAGTAGGGGTGGGGGAGAGTTCCTGCACTTAACAGACAAAAAATGTTTTTGTAAATAGTCGGCCTATGAACCGGGAGGTCACAGTTGAATTTGTGGTCAGGGCACATGGCCAGGTTGCAGGCTCGATCCCCAGTGTGGGGCATGCAGGAGGCAGCCAATCAATAGTTCTCTCTCATCATTGATGTTTCTATCTCTCTCTTTCCCTCTCCCTTCCTCTCTGAAATCAATAATTTTTTTTTTTTAGATGAGGTGATAGTGTGCAGACACTTTAAAAAAGTATGAAGGTAAGTAGAAGAAACAGTTGAAGAGTTGACAGTATAGTTGTCAAAGGGGAGTGACAGTGAAGGTGAGGAGAGGTGGGGTAGCAGATTGTTGCAATTTATGATTAGCCTTTCATAAGATTTTACTTTAAATAAACAGAAAAGAAGAAAAAGCATGGGTGGAAATAAGGAAACCTCAGTTCTAATTCCAAATCTTCCATGAACACTGCAACACTGGACCAAAGCCCTTTACCTCTCCTGTCCTTAGTGTTTCTCCTCAAATGGGGATCTGAGGTCCCTTCAAGTTCTGACATTCTATTCTGGTAAGAATCGGGTAAAACTATGCCCTTCACTATAGCATCGTCTCCAAGTCCACAGTCCCCAGCTAAAGAACATCTGGTAAAGGAATGATATTCCAGGATGGTGGCCCTGGACCACTCACCTGCAATGACTTGACGGCCTCTACCTTTCCCGTCCTTGGCACCCTCAATGATACCCGGGAGATCCAGGAGCTGCAAGATTGGGGGTAGGGGGGTAGGGGGGAGAAATGGAAAAACTTATTATAAATCTGAGCAGATCACATAGAATGATTTATTTCTCAGTATACAAAATTTAGGAGATATAAATCAAATGTTCCTTATGAGTATATGAATATTATTTCAACTAAGCATCTTCTAAATGTCAGCTACAGGCTTTTTACATACTTTAGTTTAAAATGCCTAACAACCCTATAAAATAAGGATATTAGCTGAGTTTCATAAAAGTGGTGATTTACTCAAAGTCACAATCCTAATAACTCAAGTAAAATTATAACCCACATTTTTGGAGCCAAATGCATTTGTCTCTATTAATATCTTTCAATATCACCACACTTCTTTTTAGAGAGAGGGGAAGGGGAGACCAAGAGAGAAAAACATCCATGTGAGAGAGAAACATCGATTGGTTGCTTTCCGCCCACGCCCAGAGTAGGGCCAGGGATTAAGCCTGCAACCGAGGTACATGCCCTTGACTGGAATCAAACCCAGGACCTTCAGTCCAAGGGCTGACGCTCTATCCACTGAGCCAAACAGGCTAAGGCTGATCATATTATTTATTAAAAGTTTCTAATAGCTCCTAAATTAGGTACAAGATAAAATTCAACTTCCTTAGTAGGTACACAAGGTCCTTCATAATTCCACTCCAACCTACCTTTCCAGATTCAGTTACTAACACTCCCTGTCCCACACCTAAGCTCACACCACAGCAGGCTGTTCACCATTATGGCTCCCTGAAGTAGCCCTTTACCTTTACTGGCTGGTGAAATGCCTTTTGAACATCAAGACCCACCTCCAGCCCTAGCAGGTTTGGCTCAGGGGATACAGCATCCGGCTGTGGACTGAAGGGACATGGGTTCCATTCCAGTGGATGCCAGGGCGCATGTGGGAGGCAACCAGTCAATGTGTCTCTCTCACATTGATGTTTCTCTGTGTGTGTCTCTCCTCCTCCCTTCCACTCCTCCAATGTCACTTTCTACATGAAGTCTTTTTTGTTTTGTTTTGGTCTTACCAGACCTCCCCCACACCCAATCCTCAGATGAAAAGTAGTCCCTCCTTTCTCTGTGTTTTCACAGGTCTATCCCACTGTGTACTGATTGGCCTTACTGCTCTATCTCGCTGCTAGACAATGATCGGGAAGCAAAGACCAGGTCTGGCATAGGGAGAGCTCCCAATAAGTGCTTTTTAAATGAATGAAAGGATGGGTTCCCCCCTGCCTTGTCCTGCAGGACTGACTCACCTGGATCTTGGCACCTTTGTATCTGATGACGCCAGGCACAGTGGTCAGAGTGGTGAACTCATAGGCTGCCACCTCAGAATACACCCCTGCCAGGTTACTGAGCAGTGTCGACTTCCCCACAGATGGAAAACCCACAAACCCAATTCGAGCATCACCTGTCTTGGCCACATCAAAACCTAAAGCATCAACAAATATCAAAAAGAGGAAGAAAGTTATCCCTGAGTGTTGAGACTCATGTAATTCTTTTCACATTCTGGTTACCTATCTGACGAGGACCTACGTCTGCAATTTTGTACAGTTTACCTCTAGAGTAGAACTTAAGCATACAAAATCTCACTACAGCAATTTGCAATGTTTAATGGACTTTTTAGGTTTTCTTTTTTTTTTTCCTTTTTTTCTTTTTACAATGGCTGCAAACAGGTTCAAAGCCACATTTGTGGCCCTTCTCTAGAAAGTGTACAGAATACTGACATTCCTTTTTGTTCCTAACCTTCTCTCTCTCAATTTCTCCGGCTTACGCTTATTCTTCCTACCTTCGTGTCCCTTGGCATCCATTTCCTTAATTTTTATCTTGACTGTCTATGTGTATGTATTTCTGTAAGCCGATGTAAATCTATCGGTATAAAATACACATCAATAAAACCCTAATTTATTTAGATAATATCCACTTGCCTTTGAAATCAGCAGAATAAACACAAATCAAGACTTTAGGCTTAGAAAGCATAAATCTTCTCTGATAGAAATTTAAAAATTACTTTTGGGCCATGTGCCTGTATTATTTGGATTAAAATTACACCAGAGGAAAACAAGGTTTAAGGACAACACAAACCTTCTCCTGGCCCACCGCCGCCTCCGCCCTTCGGAGTAATGAGCTCCCTGCGAAGCTTGGCCAGGCGAGCCTTCAGCAGCCCCAGGTGGTGCGCGGTGGCCTTGTTCTTCTGAGTCCGAGCCATCTACAGGGGAAGAATCACAGCCCCGAGTCAGAAGCAGTCCCGACAGGCTCCAAGACCCAGAACAAATGCTCCCCCACCTCCGAGAGCAGCGGTTCTCCACCTGTGGGTCGCGACCCCTTTGGCGGCCGAACCACCCTTTCACAGGGGTCGCCTAAGCCCATCCTGCATATCAGATATTTACATGATGATTCATAACAGTAGCAACATGACAGTTATGAAGTAGCCACGAAAATAATTTTATGGTGGGGTCACAACATGAGGAACTGTATTTAAAGGGCCAGAAGGTTGAGAACCACTGTCCGAGAGGATGGCGTTTTCTTCCTCGGTCCCTCTCAGGTCAGTATACCTGTACCCATTTTAGTCAGATGTTAAAAAGAGTAAAAACCCATTCTCTCCAGCACCCGGCCCATTCCCCTCATTACAGAGCAAGCAAACGGGGTGTCTAGAGAAGAGACCTGCCGTTACCAGCAGCGTCCACAGATGAGACTAGAACGCATCCGCTGGTTCCCTTCCCGCTGCTTGTACCTGCTGCGCCCCGTACCACACAGGGCCACCCCTCTCCCCGGTTTCAAGAGCGACAGAATCGCACGACCATCCGGGTGGAATCGACCGCCTCCACAGGTGTCGATCCACTCCCAGGTCCTACCTCCGGGGAACCGAGCCGTCAAAGCAGAGGCTGGGGGAGGTGGGGGGTCGAGAGGTGATGAGGAAAGATACCGAAGCGGGTGAGCAGCCAGGGCGGGAGTGAGGCAGCAGGACTGGTACGTACACACACACAATCAGAGACTGAGAGAAACAAACTGAGCAAGGAGCGTCAGGGCTGGAGTAAGGAAGCAGGATTCGCTGCACACGCACGTACGTGTACACACACGTGTACACACTCTCTTAGAGATTGAGAGAAACAAACAGAACAAGGAGAATCAGGGCTGGAGTAAGAAAACAGGATTCGGTGCACACGCACGTACGCACACATGTACGCACACGCACACACCACACACACAAAGTACGTGAGCAGTCAGGGCTGGAGTCAGGAAGCAGACCTCGGTGCACACGCACGTACGTGCACACACACACACACACACACACACACACACACACACAATTAGAGATTGAGAAAAACAAACAGCACCAGGAGCACCAACCAAGACGCAGTGGTGTGGAACGCGGGCAGGTGAGGAAGGGTTCGGGGAACGCGGGCCTGGACTGAAGGGAGTCGGAGAACCCGGGCCTGGGCACAGGGGCGTCGGGGGGCGCGGGACCAGATTGAGGGGAGTCGGGGGGCGCGGGCCCGGTTCTGACGCGGCTGAGGGGAGGTAGGCAGGAGCGACACCGGCGAAGCCAGCACGCTCGGGCGGACGGCGAAGCGCGCGTGGCGCCCATTACCTCGGCCTCGATCTCCGCAATCTTGGCTAAGGTACTGCTCATCGCGGCGGGTCGCGGGGGGCTGCAGCCACCTCCACACTTGACTGTCTCGGTTCACACACCCGCCGGCGGACCTGCCACAGCTGCCAGGCACGACGGTGCGCACGCGCGGGACTTTCCCCAGTTCTCGCGAGAGAGCCCCGCGCGAGGTGCCCCGCGAGATCCGCCGCGTCCCGTCGGCTCCTCCCCCTCAGCCAACCCCGCCCCGTCCCGCCAGCCAGCGCGGTGTCATAGAGCCCGCGGGAGCGGGGGCCAGAGCGGCCGCCCCAGCCCGTGCCTCCCGGAGCGCGCGGAGGGTCGCGCGCCGCTCGGCCCCGCCCCGCCCCGCCCAGGCCCGGCGCGGGGTGTCCGGGGGCTGCTCCCTGCCGCGGCCCAGGGCCCGCAGCCCACAGACCCTGGACGGCGGAGAAGCGTGCGCTGCAGCCTTCCACCCTCTCTTCCTCGCCAGCGCCTTACGGGTCCCGGAGCCCCTTTTCGTGCTGGGGGGACGCCCGGGCGGACTTACCGGACCCCTAGGTTGATGTAGAGGCCGATCTTCAACCTGTCCCGCCCTCTTGGCAAAAAAGAAAATGCTCCTTTTTCATCACTCACAACTATATTTAGGTATCTGTTTTGTTTACCCCCCCAAATCCCGGGTAGAATGCATGGCACATGGTGAGCCCACAATAAATGCAAGATTAAATGGATAATGCCCAGAGAACCGGTACTGAAAATTTTGAAGCTATATGTTAACGCCCATCGATAGGAAAACCGATAAATAAATAATGGTCCTTCTAGGCTGTGAAATACTATTTCAGCCATTAAAGTGTACATTCGTGTGGTCTGACTCAATAGATCTCCAGGATATATTTTTTAAAAAACACCTATGTTATGATCCCATTTGTTTGTGTTTATTTTAATTAGATATTGGTGTTCATGTAGGAAAGTGCATTGTTTAAAGGCCTGAATGAAAGGACACACTCTCAACTTCTTACACTGGGATGGGATGCAAGGAAAGGGAAGCGGTTCACTTGTCATTCCATACATTTTGTCGTTGGAATTGTGTACAAGCTGACTGTGTCCATGTGACATTTGTGTAATAATAAAGTTAAAAATTTCAAAACACTCCTCTTTCCCAAGCGTCTCGTGAAGAGGAAGCCAAGATGTCCAGGAGCTGTGTGCTGGTTTTGAAATCTGCTTCCTGTGGGATCAATGAATTCTTGTTGATAGATTGATTGATCCATTGGGAGTGGCGGGCCAGGCTTAACCCACATGGCTGGCCTCCACTCAGCCCCAGGGAGGGAAGTTTATTTATTTAAATTTGTAAGTAAGAACATTTCCAACTTGCCAGAGACAGAAAAGGAGGTTTTATTGGGCATAAAGGCGGGAATCGAGAGAGGAACGCTTTTACACAAGGTCCCCAAAAGGGTCCAGGAGTTTTGTTCTTCTTTTCTTTAACCTCAGCCCTTTCATAAATAAATTAAGGGGTGATGAGGTAATTAGATCCCTGCACGATCAGTAATGGAGGAGGGAAGAAGAGGAGAGGAAGTCCAGCTGGAATGGGATATGATCAAAGATCAGCCTTAAAAGTCAGATAAAATCAAATCAGCAGACCTTCCCTAACTTGGAGTACTTAAGGAATTAATCGGCTGACAAGATCAAGGGCATCACAGCTCTGTGAGTAGGTTCTCCTTAGCAAATCTGTCATAGGAGACCTGCCGATAAGTTAACTACTTCATCGCTCACAGACATCCCGGGACCCACCTTGGAAGCCCCACGCTGTCAAGAACGTGCCAGAGGGTAAAACTCATCTCCGCCAGGGTCCTGGGTGGCCATCTTATTCATCCAACAAATACTTAACTGAGCTCCAACTGCTGCCTGGCACTGTACCAGGGCTGGGGACAGAGCAGAGAGTGAATCAGACACTGTCCTTGAACTTAAGCAATTCCTAGGTTAGGAGGCCAAGACCAGACCTTCAAGCTGTAGGCTCCTACAAGCCTTGGGTAGCCCAGGTCTGCTTGGTACCAACCACAACAGAGGGCCTGTTTTGCATGATGGCGAAACCACTCATGGCTTGGCACTGTGTTTCTAACAAAACAAAACAAAACAAAACAAAACAAAAAATAATTAAAAATAAAATGGAGGGAAGACAGAAAAGCTTCATCGCTTGCCGGGACACTCCAACCACTCTGAAGTAATTACACTTCTCCAGATGTGTGAGGGTTCTCTGGAACTTGTTTTTTCTGCTCAGTATACTATTGCCCCACCCTTTCTCTCCACCACCCAGATCTGGCCTAAGTCTTCCTCATCGTCATAGTTTTCTGATCTGCGTAATCTCTGAGAAGCATTCTTTGGCTGAGTAGGGGCCCGCCTCTGGCTTCCCCACTCACCTCGGCCCAACCAGGGTGCAGTCACTCTGCTTCTCGACTTGTCTGACTCACCACTAACCCCCGAGCCCACGAGGGAGGAGCAGGATATATTCCCAGCACCAGCAAAAGTGCAGCTACAGCAAACTCTTGAAACATGTTTATTAAACAAATGAAAATAAAAACAAGAAAACAGAAAAAAAATTTATAGAAGCAGAAGAGGGGTTTTTTGTGTTTTTTTTTTAATAAATATATTTTATATATTTTTTTACAGAGAGGAAGGGAGAGAGAGAGAGAGAGAAACATCAATCAGCTGCCTCCTGCACATCTCCCACCGGGGATGTGCCCATAACCAAGGTACATGCCCTTGACTGGAATCGAAGCCGGGACCCCCCAGTCCGCAGGCCGACGCTCTATCCACTGAGCCAAACCGGTTTCGGCCAGAAGAGGTTTAAAATTTTTTTTTCCCCTAGATGAGCATTTATACCTTGTTTCAGACACCACAGAAATGGAGAGCTAAAACACCTGGGTCTGGTTGATAGCATGAAAAGTAAAAGGGTAGCCGAAACCGGTTTGGCTCAGTGGATAGAGCGTCAGCCTGCGGACTGAGGGGTCCCGGGTTCGATTCCGGTCAAGGGCATGTACCTGGGTTGCGGGCATATCCCCAGTGGGAGATGTGCAGGAGGCAGCTGATCGATGTTTCTCTCTCATCGATGTTTCTAACTCTCTATCTCTCTCCCTTCCTCTCTGTAAAAAAAAATCAATAAAAGCCGAAACCGGTTTGGCTCAGTGGATAGAGCGTGGGCCTGCGGACTGAAGGGTCCCGGGTTCGATTCCGGTCGGGGGCATGTGCCTGGGTTTCGGGCACATCCCCAGGGCGTGTGCAGGAGGCAGCTGATCGATGTTTCTCTCTCATCGATGTTTCTGGCTCTCTCTCTCCCTTCCTCTCTGTAAGAAATCAATAAAAATATATTTTAAAAAAAAATAAAAGAAAAGTAAAAGGGTAATGATACAGGAAAAACTCCATGTTATCACTGTTTTAAGTTTAGCTTCTAAACAGGTCAAAATTCCCCGGATACTATAGCAGTAGAGACTGGGAAGCCCTAGATGAAGGGAAGTTATTAATATCATCGGGGAGTGGTAAATGCTTTGCTTTTAGAAAGGAAATGCTCAAGAATGTGCATATAGGGTACAAATGAAGGCAGTCCTTCTCTATAAAAACTTCATCTCATCGATGCAAAAACTAAAAGTGCACAAAAGTCTGCACTAAGTCAAAGTCTGATTTTTTGGGTTTTTTTTTTTCATTCAAGTGGGTAATTCCTTGACCCATATAGTACTTCTAGTCCTTTCATCTCTGTATGCATTGTGTGTCAGGGACTATGCTAGGCACTGGGAATACTACAAAGACCAGATACCTGCCCCACCCCAAGAAGAGAGGAGAGGGGTGAAGATATGCAAATACCCAGAGCTCAGTCATACAAAGCCCAATGAGGTGTCAGGAGAGAGATAAACAAGGTAGAGTTCAAAGGAAGAAGCTCTCACATCTGTTTCGGAAAGAGATGGGCCTGGGAAGATGGAGATGGGAGAGAGAAACCAGTTCATGCAGGTGAGCAAACGCAGAGCAGAAGGAAGGCCAGGACACGCCTGTGGTCTCCACAGGTGACAGTGAAATGGAGTGAGTGTGTATGCTAAGAACATCCCAAAACAGAACATTGTTCTTGATTATCAATACACATCCTGCTCACTGAGATTGTGAGTACGGTGAACATGGCCAGTCGTTTTGTGGTTAAAAGGCAAAATGGTACTTTACTGAAAGATAATTCCCTTTCCTTCATTAGCCTTCTTCTGAAAAAAGTTGTAAAAATGTCCAAGAACTTGTATTGTTTGTTCTAAGTACGCTCAAAACAGAAGAAATAAGCCGAAAAGAAGTCAAATTAAAACCCTGGACTAGAAATGTCAGTCTAGTCCAGTAAAATGGAGGCATTGAGAGTTGGGGAGACTGGAGAAATAAATGTGCTCTAAAGGCTTAGTCATCATTTAATTGTGTTATGTTAATAAAAAAATATGCCTTTGATTATGATGTTAGCAAGGGGAAGGAAGGTAACCATGGTAGAATTGAAAAGCACAGTAGAGGTTCTGAAATAACAGGGGAATAAGGAAATGTGATTAAGGCAGCAAAAGTAGGGAAAAGGAGAAAGAGGAAATTAGTAAAATAGGTTGAAAGGAATAATATCCAATATATCTGTTGTTATACAATAAATGCTAAATTCCACTCTAAGAAACAGAAATTGTCAAATTAGATTATTTAAAAATCCAGCTGGATCTTAAATATGAAAAAAAAACCAACATCCTGATAATGTGACAAAGAAAAGTTAAAAATAAAAGAATGAAACAGATTGATAAATGTTCAAAGATATGCTAGATAAATGAAAACAAAAGAAAACAGCATTATTCATAATAAGTAAAAGAACTGGAAATAACCAAATATCCATCAACTAATGAATGGATAAATAAAATGTGCTATATCCATAAAATGGAATATTACTCAGCAATAAAAAGGAATGTACTGATACATGCTGCAATATGCATGAATCCTAAAAACATCTTGAGTGAAAGAACCCAGTCACCAAGGACCACATATTCTATGATTGCATTTGTATATGAAATGTCCATTTTAGGCAAATTTATAGAGGCAGAAAGTAGATTAGTGACTGCCTAGGACTTGGCAGGCAGGGGGAATGATTGCCAAAAGGTATGGTTTCTGTTTGAGGTAAGAAAAGTATTATAAAATTGATTTGTGGTGGTAGCTGCACAGCCTTGTGAATATACTAAAAACCACTGACTGGTACTAAAAAAGTTCAAGAATATGTTTTTAAATCTTCCAAATACTCCAAATAGTAGAGATTACACAGGCTGCATTTTCTAAACATAATCCAATAAAATTAAATAGCAGCAGCAAAGATATGAGAAAATGTAATCACTTGGAAATTAAGAAACAATCTCCTAAATAAAACAAAAAGTAAAAATTCAAATCATCTATAATCTTATGAGTAAAACACTGCATACCAAAACCATAGGAATATTGCAAAAACTGTACTCAGAGGAAATCGTGTAGTCTTAAATATTATTTTTTTAAAAGATGATAAAAAGATGGATTAATTATTAAAAATTTTAAATTTGAGCAAGAACACCAAATAAATACAAGTAAGTCAAAATAATGTAGAAAGTAAAATAAAATCTAAAATAAAAAAAATAACAATTTGTCAAAAGTAGGTGAAGGGATTTGAACGGACCAATAAAATAGAAAGGAAAAATAGCCTAGCATGCCTGATTAAAGGGTAAAGGATAGAAATAATAATAATAATAAACATAATGTGAAAGAATTACTTGTGCCGAGAGCCGAAATGGGTTCTACGGGGGCCTGGATGCGGTTAGATTTTTTATTTATTTATTTATTTTTTTTTTATTTTTTTGATTTTTTAAGGGAAGGAGATAGAGGCCAGAAACATCGATAGAGGAGAACAGTCAGC